GCCACCACCTTCAAGAGCTCCGGTTTGTTCTTCCCGATATCTGCCAAAAAAACGGATTGTCGAGAAACTCATCGGCTCTAGAGATGGTGGACGCCATCGGGTGCTCGGCGGAACAAGGAGTCTGAATGTGTCCCCGAAATTCGGTGGGTCGTCGTGAATTGTCAGAAAATTGAAGAAGAAGATCGAATTTTGACCGAAATTTTTTAAATCTAAAAACTTTGACTGAGTAATTGACCGTCTTGACGGTGGAATTTTTCACCGGAAATTTTAGTAGGTTAACAAGAACGAAAAAAACTTCAAAATGATGTAAAAAAAATTCAATCGGAGGTGGTCGACCGGCGAACGGCGGCGACCGAGCGGATGGGTGGAGACCAAATAGTGTTAGGAATTGCAGGGCTCATTTTTAAAAATTTAATAAATTTTATGGACTATTTTACAATTTTAAAAGTTTTAATTAATTGCAAATAAAGACTGGAGTTGATGTGGATTATTTAATTTGAAGTCAATATTTCTTATCTCGCTGCATAAGCCAGAATCAAGCCATGTTAGGTTTAAAAATGCCAGGTCACATTTTTATCGAGGGTTCGGATAAAAAGGGACCAAAATTTATGAAATTGACAAATTATTAGACTTAAATTGAAAGTGGTCAATAACAGGGTGTGTTTGGACAGTGACCAAATTATAGGACCAATTTTAAAATTTTGCCGGAGAGATTAGGACTGCAACCGAGCTGCATTGACTATCGAGCAGTAGCCTTATCGAGCAAATTCATTTTTTTTCACTACTTTTGAGCTCAACAATTAAGTCAATATTTTTAGGACTTGATTGGACTCATTTCGATAAATGCACGAATGTTTGGGATTGATTCTAATTTTTTGAACTCAAATTAATTGTTAATAAAAAAATTATTCAAATAAAAATTATGTCAATTTTGCTCAAGCTCGAGTTTGCCAATAATTCATATAGAATTGTGGAATTTAGATAAACTGCACTTATATACGAGCCGACTAGTCAAACACTCGAACTTATGAAATGCATAGGCTCAAGAATGGTTTAAATTCAGATTCGAGTTGTTCGAGCTCAAGCAGAGCCTTTATTGAGTGAATTTGTTCGTTTGCACCAATACGAGAGGAAGAGAGAGTTGACACATAAGTAGTTGATAGATAAAAATGGTATATAGGCAAAATTCGAATTAATTAATTATTTGAACAATGTTGTTTAAAATAAGTCGAGAACTGTTGATGATTGATATAACTATCAATAAGAGTGCATAAAAAAGAAAAGGTTTGAACCAGTTAATTTTTATTTTAAATCTTTTACCTTAATATACTTTTAGTAAAAGAAAAAACAAATTTAAATTAATTAGATATTATATTATAAAATGTAAAATAACATAAATTGCTAAATGATTTAACAATTACAATTGAAACATGTCTAATTAACATTAATTATGTTTTCATATGAATTTATTTTTTTCAATTTGCAAAAAACATTTACAAATATTAACTGACCAACTTTTGTAATATGCATATACAATAATTCTAACTTTTTTGAATGAAAAGCTATACAATAAGTGAGGCTGGTAATGATTCTAAAAATTTTATATTGTTGAAATTGATACTCTAAGCTTCATCTTAACTTAATATATTCATCATGTTATTTTTGGGCTCTGATTGTGAGACTGATCACTAGGCCCTACCTATAATGCTCATATATCTCATGCTTAAATATTTTTTCATGATTATTTTGACTTAACAAATTCTCTTACTGCTTAGTAGTGATTAATTAGTGCAACTAAATGAAGGATTTAAGGTAGTGCCATATGATCAATCAGCAACTAAATTTAGGTTCTATAGAACAGTAGAAATAACGTAGAATCAATCATAGCAATTACTTGCATCCATATGTAGATAATTAACCGGCGTTTCTGAGTTCAGCTTGACTCGTTAATGTTGGAGTTTGGCTTGTCTTGTGTGATAAACAAGTGAACACAAACTCATTTAGTTATCGAACTCGACTCGTTAAGGCTCGAAAGTTATATTTTTTATGTGATTTTTTCAAATATAGCTCAACTCGTTAATATTGTTAACAAAATCAAGATTGAGACTGTACTGACTCTTTTTGTTAATGACTCGAGATCAACTAGACTTGATAGAAGTTCGAGCCTGGGTTCGAGCTAAGCTCCTTAATTTACAACTCTAATTCCATGGATAGTTATTTGAAAAGTAACAAAAAAGAAAACTCTAAAAACCTAAGGAAATTCGACAAAGTCACAAAGTATATAGTCTCTTATCAATTGGTTTAGAAATCATGTGATCTATTTTTTTTTTTCAATATTGATTTGATTTTTTTTTATATTGTCTAAGTGCATTTGGTTAACTAATTTCGTTGTTTGACTTTGTTAGAGCCAGATGAATAAGTCATTTTTTGTAAATATTTTCTTTACTATAATACTATTTATAGAGCTATTGAAAACGATATATAAGTTGCTTATTACCTTAATTCAACTTGAGTTTGAAGAAAAATGGTGTGTTAAGTACTTTAAATTTTTTAATATAATTTAAGATAGTTATATTCGAACTCGACTCAATTCGATAACAAATTGAGCTCGAGTATCAGGAATTGACCCCAAAAAATGGCTGGCAAAATTGAGTGTCGAATGCTACGTGTCAACAACCTTAACTTAATTATATGTTTATGTGCCACGCAATGACCTAACGTTAGTCCAAATCCGACGTGTACACCAACCCGTGGTTTGTATCCATTATGATGTTTGACATTTTCTCCTTCTGGATAAAAACAAGGAGTCAACTAATTGAAAATTAATTGAAAAGCATGTCAGTTAATTTGACATAAGTACGAATTTCATCATTTGTCGGAAAATTTAGAAACGTACAATTTTCGTGTATCTCTTTTCTTCTACAATTTTTTTGGGATGTTATTTTATAAATTTATAATGAAAAAGAAAAATCAAAAGTACACCTTAAATTCCGGGTGTATCAAAGGTTATAATATTGGGATGTAAATTAATTTAATGTAGTTTCACAAATTTCAAAATTGATCAGTTGGGAATATAAATTCTGATCGAAAATCCAACTTTCCGTGTTATATTTTTATAATTGTTCATTCGGAGCACTTTTTTGTAGGAAATTTAAATTTCAAGGTAAATGTGACATGTCGATTCTTGAGCGCAGGTGAAAATTCTAATAAGAAATTGACACGTCATGTGCACTTGTCCTAATAATTTTTGGTAAGGCTACAATCCTGTTACGGAACCATTCCGTTGGGATTTGTAACCGTTAGATCAACTATCATTGACGATTACTTGATGATCTAACGGTTACAAATCCCAACGGAATGGTTCCGTAATGGGATTGTAGTATTTTCCAATAATTTTATTGATTTAATTCATATTTAAGATAAAAATTATCTATCAAATTGGTCAATTATGAAAATTTCAGAACCAAAATTTGAACTTTTGATCAACATTAGCATCAAATAGATTAATTATTCTTTTTTTTTTTGTTTGAACAAAACTAATTTTAATACACCTCAAATGTACAAGACTACTTTTAGAATTTTCCCAATTTATCATGCCAAACAAATATAATGCTTGTTTACATCTATCCTTTTCATGTAATCTTAAAGCAACATCTTATGTACGCTCTGTATAAATAAATGTTTTGTTTCTAAACATTAGTCAAACACCGTGTTAAGTAGTCTTCATACGATATAGTTAAAAATAAAAAGTCTCTCACACAACTAAGCATGTCTTAGTGGTTTAGTTAATCTGATCAGTAGTCAAACCACTCAATGAAGCCTCCTAATTAAGTTTTGGCATGTGAAACATGTATAATTAACATGCGCTACTAATCCAAATATGGAAAATAATAAATAGGCAAATCAAAACAAAATTGTCGACGACATTCTTTTGTCATGCATAGATAATGAAAGTCAGAGCAAAAGTTGGACTCTTCGTTGACTTTTAAACTTAAAGGATTTTAAACCTGAAATATTACAACATATATTTTATTTAGTTATTGTACTTTCATTTCATGTCATAGTTTGTAAGTCTAAGAATGTAAATCTAAAAATCATTTCGTTCATTGATAGAAACTTATTTCGCGACAAGCTAGTACTCTATATTAGAGTTTTAATTAAACGATCATAGTTGATTCAAACCATGATACTCAAGTTCAAGTTTGACTCCTTATCGAGTCAAGCCTGACATGTCAAACAAACTCGAAGCTTGACAAATTGAATTATAATAAAAGTACAAGAAATCATGTAAAAATTTTATTCTTTTCCTTTCTTCTAAACGTACTAGCTCTTTAATCGAGCAATAAACGAGCTCAGCTCGTTTAACAAATGAGCCAAACTCGAGCAGAATTCACTAGCTGTATGCTTCGTTTAAAAACGCTAATGCTTATATCAATAAATAATTTGTTTCTTTGATTTTCATACTCATTATTCATTGATTATGAGTTTTCATCTAAAAAGTCTAAAAAATTCTCCACTCTAGATCAAATTTTCTTTGGAGACGCAATACAATAAAATAAGTTAAAATATAATGAATATGAAAAAATACATAGCATAACCAATTAATTAGTACCATAAAATCCACAATCATCATTAGCAACGAACTATAGTCGCGGTTGGTGGGTTCAAATTTTTCAATTTTTGATGCAATTTTTCCTATGACTGACACAAAAAAAAATATAATTAACATAGCAATTAAGCGAACGGCAAAACGGGGTTCCAACTTCCAACTCTGGATAACTGTCACATAGCACGTCATTAGACTAATAAATCTCAATTAATTAACATTAATCACACTCACTTTTCAATGCCAGTCCACATCACTATTTACCATTAATTAATTAATTAATCAAACTCTATAAATACTCCCCCACTCGAAAATCACTCCCAAGTCCGACCTACACACAAATCCATCTCCAATTAAATTGATCAATTATTTAAAAACAAAAAGAAAAACAATCATGGGCGATAATCGCATGAGAGAGATCGAGGGCAAAACCGTCCACGACCCATACCCAAAACCCCGCCGCATCTGGGTGCCTTACCCGGTGGTCGTCGGCGCCGGTCCGTCGGGCCTTGCGGTGGCGGCCTGCCTGAAGGCACGTGGCATCCCGTCGCTCATCCTCGAGCGGGAAAGCTGCCTAGCCTCCCTGTGGCGGCTCAAAACCTACGACCGCCTCAAACTCCACCTCCCGAGGCGGTTCTGCCAGCTGCCGATGATGGACTTCCCGGAAAAGTTCCCGGAAAACTTCCCGACGAAGAACGAGTTCGTCGGGTACCTCGAGGCGTACGCGGAGAGTTTTGGGCTCCGGCCGGTGTTCGGCTGCCGGGTGGTGGCGGTGGAGAACGACGGCGGCGGGATGTGGCGGGTGGAGGTGGCGGCGGAGGCGGGGGAGGTGGTGGTGGAGTACGTGTGCCGGTGGTTGGTGGTGGCGACGGGGGAGAACGCGGAGGAGGTGGTGCCGGAAATGGAGGGGGTGGAGGAGTTTTCCGGCGAGGTGGTGCACACGAGCGGGTATAGAAACGGAGAGGGTTACGTGGGGAGGAAGGTCTGNTCCAGTGTGTGTTTTTTGTGTTTAGTTGTAACTTGTAAGTTTTGCATAAATATTCGAGTTTGTGATTGTCGTTGTTGGGATTTTTTTAGTTTTTTTAAGATATGAATTTAGAGAAATACTGCAATTTCCTGGTGTTTTTAATCGTAAATTATATCCCATCGTACACTATATTATCTATCCTACACTAGTGAGTCTGTTTTGTGTGTGTGTTTTCCATTTTCTAACTTTGACCTTTTTTTTCTTTTGATTTCCTTTTTCTTTGGGTCCAATTCAGAGTTTTGACTTTTGTGGAGACTTCAAATTTCAGTTTTGACATTTAAAAAGAAAAAGTGAGGAAAAGTTTGATATGTGGATTTTTTTACAGTAGTTGATGATTTTAAAATTTTTCTTTTTGATTAATTTCTTCAAACAACAATTATTAGTTCTCATGCACACATTTATGTTTACTTTGTATTGAATTAATTAAAGAATTTCATGTTTCATTTCATATCTAATTAATTAAGGATTCAGTTAAAATATAGCATGTCTCCATGTTTTGCATGGAATATAAATAATATTGTCCAAGAAGAGAATCTTTTTTTCCTTCATCTCTCTCAAAAGTTTGGGAGCCCTTTCCATCTTTTGTCACCTTTCAATTGTGTTAAAAAAAGACCACACACTGACACACAACAAAAAATCTCTACCCATCAATACACTTGAGCTTTCCTTCACTCATCCCTCTAATAATCCTTTACTATTTAATATATTTAACTATTGATTTTGTAGTCCCCATGATTTAGGTACATTTCTTAATGTTTCCAAAAAAAATTTCTTTCTAATTTCTCCTATAATTAAATATAATTTGTTCGATGATATTCTTAATTATTCAGGTTCACATTCTGCCAAGGGAGATGCTCGGGAGCTCGACTTTCGCACTCTCCATGTGGCTGATCAAGTGGTTCCCGGTTCGCATTGTCGACTATTTCTTGCTGGCCATCTCGCGCCTTGTGCTTGGTGACACGGGCCGATTTGGGCTGAACCGGCCCAATATGGGCCCGCTTGAGATTAAGGGCTTATTGGGCAAAACTCCGGTTTTGGACGTGGGAACCCTAGACAAGATCAAAAAAGGGGACATTAAGGTACAACTATTATAATCTTATATATGATGATACTTTAATTTTCAAAATTGCAAAATTAAAGTGGTCAAGTGATTGCAAATCCTTTTTATTATCAATCATTGGTTTGGTTTTTTTGCCTTTTTTGCCTTTTTTTTTTTTTTGTTTCTCTCTTNGACAAAAATGGTCTATTTTGTCAAGACAGTCACACAGGGAATAAAAAAAATGATCCTTTTCATATATGTCCTCTTTCTTGGTATGTTTGTTTTTGTGTGTGTGTGTGTGTTTTTCTTTATTTAATTTTAGTGTTTTTAATTTCAATTCAATGTCAGTCTGTTATGTATGTCTAGTTAATGGCTGGTCAGTCATATTTTTATCAGCTGATATGCATCATATTAAGCTAAAATGCTACACTTTAAAAAGTGAATATGACCAAAAGTGTGAGTTTTTTAGCATAAGTATATATATATTTTTGTTGAAAAAGTACTACAGTTCGACTTATATGCGTTAGCTCATGCAAGAATTTGTGTTAACTAAATGATCACTTCTTAATCATGACAAATTTTGATAGCACAAACTAGTTGAAACAAAAAAAGTTCAAATTTTTTTCCCACAAAATTTGCAATATTAATATTATAGTATATATCATAATAATGGTTAAATTGCATGTTGATGACACAGATACGGCCCGCCATAAGGAGACTAAGACATAAATCGGTGGAATTCATAGATGGAACCATAGAAAATTTCGATGCAGTTATACTGGCAACTGGTTACAAAAGCAATGTGCCATCTTGGCTAAAGGTATACCTT